GTGTCCTGCCACTGTATCCCAATTGATCATGCGCCCTGGCTACTTGGCCAAAGGGAAGTCCCATTGGCTGACTGGTTAGCGCGCATGACTCTCGCGCGACAGTCTGGGGATCGAACCCCGCCCGGGCCCTCACCTCTCCACCTTGCCACACATAGATCCCTTACGGCAACAAAAATTGCAAAACAAACCTACACATTATCCATAAGGAAGCCTGGCTGAAACATGGTTGCACAAATGTTTATTTATCTTGTTCCCAACCTGTAGATTGAGGGCTGCTGCTTTCCAACAAGCTAGCAAAGCTTTAGCAAGCTCTTAAATGGAACTAGCCGATGACGGAATGCTGATTATCCGTAAATTAGAACAAGCTGAAAACGAATGATTTAATCAACAGGTGATAAATCGATTAATTCAAATTTGCGGTTTAATTTGATTTCAATTCAATTCAATTCAGTTTATTTATTCAGCGCCAAATCACGACGAGTCGTCTCAAGGGCCTTCACAAAGTAGGCATTCCAATTAAGCTAATCAGTAAAAAGTTTCCTACATAAGGAACCCAGCAAATTGCTTTACAGCAATCCTCATACTGAGCAAGCATGCAGCGACAGTGGAGAGGAAAACTCCCTTTTAACAGGAAGAAACCTCCAGAGGGTCCTGGCTCAGTATAAGCAGCCATCCTCCACGACTCACTGGGGATCGAGAAGACAGAGCACACACACGTGCACACACACACACAACAAGTAGTATTCCTATGCCTACATTGTGATTTCTTAGTAAATATTCTATTCAGTAAGAGATAAACCTTTTTGTCTATCTTAGTGAATCTATAATTAATTCAACAGGTAAACTAGTAGTAGCACATTCCATGTCAAAGAAGGTGAAACGTTATCAGGAGAGGGAGAATGTTAAGTGGATAGCAGCAGTGTGCCGATGGCTGGCACACTTGGGGGAAACAATTTTTTTCCACTCCTGGGCTTCCGTAGATCAGAGTGAGGTCAGGCCACACAACTCTCATAACCTACGCCTCACTGTTTGACTAAAGCAGTTCGCATCAATGTTTTTCCCACAAAAACAACATCTTAATGTTAGGTCTTTAGCAGAAAGAAGTTGGACATCACCAAACCATCCGCTGCCGTGTTTGCACTCGTGCTGTCGTTAGAGCACCGTGTCCAGACATTCACTAAAAGCCACTACTGCTAGCTGTTAGCATCAATGCAGCTAGTTAAAGTTAGTTGCTAAGAAAGGAAAGGGAGGGGCAAAAATATCTAATTGAATTGAAAATTGCATTTGGGATGAAAACATCAGATTTTATTTTTAAGCCCTAATCAACAATAAGATGACAATTATTTTACTGCAGATTAGGACCCGATAGTCTCACGTCTACTCCTGAGACTGCCACACCAAAATACCTTTACACCAACATAATACTACACACAGGAACGTGTATGATTGGCAGCAGACAGAAATCAAGTCTATAAGGGGACGTAAGACACGTACAAAATTGCAAGAAAAAACTGGAAAATTGTATTCCAGAACTAAAGTAAACTTTTCTGAGTCTAAAGAAGCTTCATTTGAAGTGGACACTGGGAAACGCAGTGAAGTTTGTCAGTCGGTTGCCTCAGACTGATGACTTAGTAAAGCTGCTTTGGTTTGCTCTAAACCACGGCTGTCCTAGGACACAACAAACTGGAATTACCAGCCCCATTTTTGGGAGTCCTGTGCTTTTCCAACCCTGTGAGGTCTGCACCAGGACGAAATCCCTGAATGCAATGAGGACATTTCTTTCACTTAATGCGTCCCGTGTGGTCATAGATGGGCTTTAAGGCCTCCAGTGTTTGCGTCCAAGGCTGCTAAGATTCCTGCATGATGCTAAATGTTTACGATGCACACTAACCGAAATTAGACAGGATGTTGTACATGGTATTTGTGCGTGTTATTTTTAGTTGTGTTAGCATGAATAATAGCATTCATTAGAATTTTTTCAGTCCGTTTGCTCACAAAAGTTTATTTTTATGTTCCTATTTTTTTAAGAATTAAGATTTTTGCAACATTAAATATAATATTCTAGTAAAATAAAACTATAATTTATTTTGTAGGGGTCTTAGTTTTTGAATCATCTAATGAAAAATGAGCTTAAACACTGGTAAAAAAATTTTTTATAACAAAACCGCTTGTCTATGAAATGCAGTAAAGTTGGTGGGTAAATGTGTTTATATAGCACTTTCTAGGGTTCTATCTACAACCCCCCAAAGTGCTTTACAACTAACCAGTCACTCACCCACTCACTCACAGATTCACACAGTGGTGATGATGAACTACAGTGTAGCCACAGTTGAACTGGTGTGCACCGACGGAGAAGAGGCGGCCAAGAACTGGCGCCACCGCTCCCTCCGACCACCACCGGTGTCTTGCCCAAGGACACGATGACTACAGCAGACTGAGAGGTGCGTGAACCTGCTACCCTCCAGTTACGGATCGGGCACTTAACTCCTCTGCCACGTCGCTCCAGTGTTCAATGACAAGAATGCTGCACATATCCGAATGAAGTGCAACATTTTAGGGCAGCTAATTCAACATTTTCTCATTAAAGTCAATGAATAATGGCGATTAACATTTATTATCTCAATTATAATGAAAAAGTAATAATTATGCTAATAAAAAAACATGCAGCACTAATTTCAGCAAACCTGCTAAAACCTAATATGTGTTTTGAGTTTGTTTTAACTATTTCTTTGCTTCTTTTCTGAAAGTATTAATAATTCAATGATAATTAGGGTGATAGTAGTTAAGTGCCCGTCCCCTAACGAGAGGGTTGCTGGTTCAAGCCCCATCTGTCGCAGTGTCTGTGTACTTTGGCAAGGCGCTCAACCTGCCCTGCCTGCTGGTCAGAAGACGTTGTGGTGCCAGTGCTTGGCAGCCTCGCATCGGTCAGGGCACCCTTGGGCAGCTGTGGCAACAATGAAGCTCATCACCACCAGAGAGTGCATGTGTGTGCATTGTATTTCAAAGTGCCTTGGGGGGTTGTAGAACCGTAGAAGGCGCTGTATCACATACAGGCCATTTACCATCATCTGATAACTAAATTCTTCTCTTGTACATTTATTTTCTCATCAGCAGTAACACAAAAAATTGGCTTATCAACCAAATTCATTCACGGATGCCAGGTGGTGATGACCCACCAAGAAATGGAACACACCCCAGAAAAGAGGAGTGGCCTCCTAAACAATCTCACAGGCTAGCTAGACAGCATTTTTATTTTTACAAGCACCAGGTGTGTCTTCCTCTCAATGAACACCAGGCACGGCTTTCACCCAACTTATACAAGAATTATTTCAAACAAGAAGACGGACCAAGGCTTTTAAAACGCAGATCTGAAACTGAGTTTAACGCAAAAATCTGAATGTTCCAGCAGGTCAGCGACGTCAAAGTGCTACTTGACATCTTCTATTATGGCGCTCAAGCCTTTCATTATTCATCGAGATCTATTAAGTTTCTTTTAAATGGCTTTTGATCTTTCCTTCCTTGTGTTATTTCACCAGCAGCTTCTCTGGAAAAGTGATATTTATGCAAGAATACCTCAAGGACAGCACAAGGTTACATCCCATAAGGAAGTTTTAGAGTATTAATCATGTCTGCTCTCATTTCGTGCAGCACTGGAAAAGCGAGAACAGAGTCGCTGATGTTCGCTTGATGAAGTGTGCAGAATGATGCCAGTAAAAAACGATTTTACTACAACTATGGTCAATTTTATGTCCTGTAAACAAATCATTTTCCTGTTAAACAAAACAATAACTCTAAATGAGCGCGCACACGTATTGCCGCCACAAATAAAACCACCCAGTAAACCAACCACCCTGTGCTGTGCCACAGCAGCTTGTTGGCTGATAAGCTCAATTCATGACAGCAGACAGGAAAGGAAGCATGATCTGCTAGGCAGACTGAAAGTGCTGCATGAGGCTGAGTCAAAAGCCTGCCAGACAGATCGTGGTGTATGTCATCAATGTACAAACAATGCCATGACTCCCTCCCTCTGGTCTCTTCTGTTAGCGGAGGTCAGTTTGTCCTGCAGAGTAAAACTGATCCGATTGTGATACCACCTCACGACTGGGTCAAAATAGATGAGAAACATCGTACAAAAGGAATCGAACTACAAATCAATCCATGCATTACAGAGAGCAGTTCATGCTTTTAAAACATTGTGGTATAATCTATTAAAAGATGCAACATGTGTTAACGTTAGAGGTGGACTGGAAACCTAAAACAATAAATAAGATTTATCTCCAAGTTAAATTTACCCTCAAACTGCCACCTGATCCACTCATTCTGACTTATGAATAAAAGCTTAATTGTTTGACCTAATTTTGGGAACCAGATATAATTTCTATACAGTGAGACCCAGCAGAAAAAAGCAAAACAACAAGGGGAGAGGACAGATTAGAGCGCATTTGAATGCCTTTCCTCAGGAGTGACAGTGACAAGGCAGCTAGCTAATAAACAATGCTGACTCCAGACTCTTGGTATGTGATGTCTGTTTAAAGCTGTCAGCTTACAGGAGATCAGAGCATTAACAGATGCTAATGCCTGTTTACTTTACATGTTTTACATATAAACAGTAGAAACCTTAGCAGGGTGCTACACATGTACCAATATATAAAGCCGAGTCCGTTCCGATGCTACATATTTTACGCAAACTACTTTGGTAATACATATAATTGCTATTAATTGTTATTTTCACAAGAAAACCGTGAAAACAAACACTCGCTAAAGCATGTATTACAATAACGGAATGTGTGAGGTTCATTTAGTGGTTTCCGTGAAAGCAAAGACATCGCTAACAGCCGAGTGAGAGGGGCGCTGTAGCTCCTTTAGCTGCTAATGCTAAAGCTAACAACCAGAACAATCAAACACAAAAAAATCAGCGGGATTTCACCACAAACAAGCAGCACAGTTCCCAGGTAAAGAAAAGATTGTGGGCGTTAATTAAAATATGAGGCAATTTTCACCTGCAGCTCGGCCCGCTCCACCTCCCATTGTGCCCTTTCAACTTCGAAACGGGCCCATTCGTGCTGCAGGAAGTGCAAGATCCCCGGGATGCTGTACTGCGCTCTAGCCGCCTCCCCAGCGTCGCCATCGGGCAGAGGTCCTTTCCCACCGCCGGCTAAAACAGAGTTATTATTGTTGAAGAACACCCCGGGCCCTGCCTGCTCGTCCATGGCCGGGCTCGGTGGATAGGTCGTTCCGTTGCCTCGATGTACCCGATACCAACAGATGGGTAAAAAATCATAAAAATAAAAAACTATCGACGGCACTCCGTCGCCGCTGCTCAGGGAATGAACTCACTTTCTGACAGCTAGCTGTCATCGACCGACGTCAGAGACGCAGCAACGCCCACATTTAAGAGACGCTCGGTTTTGTTCACCAGGACCGTCCGGAGCAAACAGTTTCAACTTCACTCAAAACCAAATGTTTGCACCTGGAAATACTTTAATAAAATCCTATCAAATTGAAGAAATAACAGTAAGGACATTTATTTAAACTCCCTCAAAAAACGAGTGAAATATTACATTTTTATTTACCTGCCAAGGTGAGTTTACAGCTGAGACGGACAGAAGATTGTTAGCAAAAGACACCGAGTTGGGGAATAAAATCATCCTTGAGTGATTATATTAGGCAGCACATACAACAAACGACGTGTTTTCCCCCAAATACTACAATACTTCCATTAGCAGTAGTAAAAATCTCATTGCTGGCTCAATACAAAGCCCAGAAGTAATCTCATTTTGTTTGACAGCTTCTAGGAGGAATGTTAAAACTAAAAGAAAATGCTGAACTCTCAAATAAGCACAAGAACACTCAATAGATCAGTGGAAAGGTCACAAACAATTGTAATTCATTGACACAATGATTGCCAGACTGCTGATGCAAATTCATTGAAAATAAATAAACAGCAAACATCAGCATTCAGAGGGCTTTAAATCAGATCACTTAAAGAGTAAGTCACCCCCAAATCAACTTATTTTTTTTGAAACTATATAAATGCGTGTCTAATCGCGCTGCAGACGTGTAGTCAATAGTTTTGCACTTAAGCATTTTAGTTAAAATTTTAATTTTCAGCCTAAAACTGTCAGCGTTGTGTCGTTGTGAGCCTCTGTGTGTGTGTGTGTGTGTGTGTTGTTAGCAGCTCCGCCCTCTCGGTCTGCTAGGCAACAGCATTTGCTCTTTAAAGAGCAAGTCACCCCCTACCAGCGTATTACTCCACTTCCACTTCCTGTTTGAAAAATGCAACAGATGCTGTTGACTGGCAGACCGAGAGGGTGGAGTCGCTAACAAATACACACACAGGCTCAATACATTGTGACATCATAAGGTACCAGCTAACATAATTTACCTCTTAGCCAATAGTGGGGCCAGATTTAAATTCAAATGCAGTGCAGTTTTTTACCTGACGACGGCACAACACTGACAGTTTTAGGCGGAATATTTAAATTTGAACCAAGATGCACTAAAGTGCTAAACTATTGAAAACACGTGTCTGCAGCACGATTAGACACTCATACAGTTTATCAGTAAAAAAAAAACAGCTGATTTGGGGGTGACTTGCTGTTTAAGGCAGAATATTTAAATTTCAAATAAGATGCACTAAAGAGCCAATTTATTGACTGCACGTGTGTACAGCATCATTAGACACTTGTTTATATAGTTTATCAGCAAAGAAAAGTTGATTTAGGGTGACTTGCTCTTTAAATAGAAATCAGGTCTGATTGTGATACATTCACCTACTAAAATGTGAGATTTTAAAGCAACCTTTCAAAGATGAACATTCAGTGTTTGTTCATGAAATGTAACTTTTTTACTTCAATGTGAATGGTTATCTATTAAAAGATAGATCAGAAATAGAATAAATAAATACATTAAAAAACTATAGTGAAGGAAAGATATGGCGTGTAGTAAGTACACAGTGGACAGAAAACAAACAATAAAGACCACCAACTATATTTTAAGAGTGTAAAGTACTTTCGTGTTCAAAAGAAGTTTGTCTTGAGTTTAATAGTTGGTGCAGCCTGTACAGTTGGCTGAGCTTGTCTCGCTGCAGCTTTGGCTTTGCTGCTGGCTTGGTTGGCCCGGATAGCAGATTCCAGACGAGTTTTAAGCCCAGGTGCTGCACCAATTACTGTCTTGAAGGCAGCTGGATAGAGAGGCCCGATACGCATCAAGTTCTGGAGGGCAAAATCGTGCAGGCTTTTAGACACTTGGGGTGCAGACGAGATGGCGTTTTCATCCAGAAGGTACGAGATGAGAGTTGGAACAAGAAGAGCCAGCAGCTGCACTCCTAAAGATCACACACAGAAAAACAACAGACATAATGAAGCAATAGCAATGAATAGTAAAAAAAAAACACATCAATTGCAACTCAAGACAAGAAAGCAATAAAGGTACTTTTTGTTTTCATGTTTAGTTTCCTAATTTTACTCATTTTGTTGTAGAAAACACAACTACTAACCA